CGCCCTCTTGGGACGCCCTCGGCCTCTCCCCCCCCTCCCTTCCCTCCCCAGAGGAGGAACAAATGGAGCTGCTGGTGCTCGTCCTGGAGAGCCCCGCCCCCTCCCCCTCCCCCAGAGGAGGGACACATGCCGCTGCCGGTGCTCGTCCTGGAGAGCCCTCGTCGTTACGGCCGGACTTTTCCTCGGGTCTCGGGTCAGAACGCGCCCCTCCCCTCCCGCCCTGCTCCCCGGGGATCCAGGCGTCGCATTTTTGTCGCGGCGGGCGTTTGCGTCCGGTTTCGAGAACTGAGGCCGCCGCAGATCGTTTGGAGTCCCGCAACGGTGCGGTGACGCATCGTGCGGTGACCTCGAAATCCCCCCAGACCTCACCGCACGGTCCGTCACCGCACGGTCTTGGGACCCCGGAGGCCCCGTGTCGCCCGAGACGTCCTCGGACAGGGCCTCGAGTCCCAAAACCGTGCAGTGACCCCGAATCCCCACCGACTCACCGCACGGTGTGGTCACCACCCCGTTTCGGGGCCCCCGAGATCGATCCGACTCGACGAATGCAGCAGAAAGTTGGGGTCTACAGGGGTTTGGCCGCGATCTTCCACGCTGTTGCCTTTTTTTGTCGCAGCGCCGGATCTCAGGACTCCCCTCCCTTCAGGGGCAACGATAGGGGGGTATCGGCACAGGGCGGGATGCATCGACCCCCAATCGCCCATTGATCGCCGATCGGGGCCCGCTAGCCCCAACCTGCCCAGGAAGGTGCCGATTCACTATCGGAGGCCTATCGCCGATCTGTCGGCGATGTGTCGCCGATTCCAGGTCGATGCTTCCCCCCCTAGGCCAGTCCCTCCCTATCCTTGCCCCTCGTCCCTCGCCTCCCCCCTCCCCGCCCTCCTTCCTCCATGTCTTCTCCCTGCCGCAGCCTGACTCCTCGGGTGCCCCGAGACGCGCCGGCGCCCCCGGGGCCCGCGCGCCCAACCAGGCCAGCCACAGCTGGGGGAGCTGTGGTCCTTACCCCCCCTGGGGGGCCCATCGGTTTCGACACCCCTCTCGAGAGCTCGTCGAGGCGATGGGCTCCCCCAGGGGGGTAAGGACCACAGCTTCCCCAGTTATGGGCGCGCCGCGGGCGAAAGGCACGGGGCCCCCCGGGGCCTCTCCAGGGGGGGCCCAGTTTTTCCAGTTTCGAGGGGAGGCGGGGGGGAGAGAGGCCGCCCCGCCCGTCCACGCCTACATCCCGAGGCTCCTCCTGGCGAAGGGAGCAATCGTAGGCGTCCTTCTCCTCAGGAGCGAAAGAAGGACGTACACGTACATGAATCCACGCTGGTTTCGAGAGGTCGCTTTGCGCGAATGTTCGCATCGCGCGGCCGGTCTCGCGGGTCGAGGGGCCGTGCTCATGCACATAGCTGGGCGCATACGTCGTTTGTGGGCTCCCTCTCTCCTCCCTCCTCCCCCTGAGGCACTGCGGCACTGAGGCATGAAGGTTCGTCGCACGTTGCACCGATGCACTGAGGCACTGAGGCACTGAGGCACTGAGGCCCCCTCTTCTCCCCATCTCCTCCCTCTTCTCCCCCCGAGGCACTGAGCCACTGACGGCACGAAGGTTCGTCGCACGTTGCCATCCCCCCCCCCCAGGGCCAGTCGGCCCTGGGGGGGGGGTCCGCTCAGAGCCAGGCGACTCCTGGAGCGATCGCTCCGGGAGCCGCCGGCTGGGGGCGAAGCCGAATCAGAAGTAGGAGGGCGGCAGACGCAAGGGAAGGGAGAGAGAGAGAGAGAGAGAGAGAGAGAGAAAAGGAAGAGCCTTAAAACAGTCGGGCCGAGGTATGAGATCGAGGTCGGTTCGGGGAGGGTGCCCTAATGCTCTTCGTGCTTGTTGGATGTTCTTGTGCATCCTAGGGAGAGCACCCTCGAATGGTCTTCATGTTGGCCCGCGGAGAGCTTTCGAAAACATAAGAGCACGAGATCGAGCATGCACGGGGATTGGACGTCCGAGCGATGGCGAAGGGGAGGAGCCATAATGCCTCCTCCTCCTCCTCCTCATCATCCCCCTCCTCCCCCTCTTTTTGACGATGCGCAAACTTAGGGCGGCAGCTGTCCTCCTCCTCCTCCTCCTCCTCCTCCTCCTCCTCCTCCTCCTGGGCCAGGAGGAGAGGCCCCCTCCCCCCCTCCCGGCGCAGGATCTCCCTGGCGGCGGACGGCGCCCTCCCGCCGCCCCCGCCGGAGCGGGGACAGGGGAGCGCTGGCCAGGCTGGCGGCCCTCGCGCGCTCGCACGCTCACCGGGCGCGCTCCGCTACTCGCAAAACGTGCCCCGTCGCAAACGTCCGTTGCGAGCATCCTGGAGAAGAGCCTCATCCGCATCACCTGCAACGGAGTCCTGCATGCCAGCGTCGCCGATGGCATCGCAGGGGGAGGGGCCATCAGCACTGGCACCCTTCCAGGACACATGGGATCTATCACGGCAGCGCTGCTTGGGGCAGGCTGTGGCGTGGGGGTCGGGGTCCGCATACCAGGCTCATTGGCCACTCACGTCTGGCAAGACACCGGGACGCGGGATGAGCATCTTCGGAAACTGGACCATACACATTAGCAGTGCCGTTTTTTTGTTTCAATCCCAGGGTTTCTTGAGGGTCGGGGGCGACGTCGGGGTGGTGTGGTGTACACTTCTCCCCCGCTTTCCAAGGGAAACAGCGAAACATGTATACACCAGGATCCCGTATACACCAGGATCCGCGTTCCTGTGCGAATTTCAGCGCAGGGTCGGAAAAAGCGTCGGTGTATAGAGCTCGTTTCCCTAACATTGTCGCCTCGTTGTAATGGGTCACAAGTTCCCCGCGTTGGATCCAGGCCATTTGTGGGGCGCGCTTGTCTATGCTCGGCTGCACCCAGCCGCGCGCAGAGGGGGGTAAAGGGGAGGGGGGAGGGCTTCTTGGAAGCACCCCTGCTTCTTGGAAGGCGCGGGCCCTGTCTGTAGATGCAGGGCCGGCGCCTTCTTCTAAGAACCAGCCCTCTTCTAAGAGGCCTTCCCCCCACTACCTACTCCAGATTTCGTAATAAAGGGAGGGGGGTCTCATTTCGGGGGGGGGTCTCTTCCAGGCTATCTTGGAGGGCCTGGGGGGGTCTGGGGACGATGTTTCGGAGGGTTCTCCCACAGGGGGGGGGGTCTGAAATGGCTTGTCTTGGAGGGTCCAGACCCCCTCCCTTTTATTACGAAATCTGGAGTACCTCCTTGTGCGCGCCGCCAGAGGAAGTGACCTTCCTCCGGAGTGGCCTTCGGTGCGGGCACACGGGTGTCCCCAGGAGACCGAACCCGATGCGACGGCAGCGTCTTTGCGCGCTCGTGTTCGGCCTCCCCGCGGCCCCCGAGAGTCGTGCTCCAGAGGTCACTCTTGCCTAGGGTCACTCTTGTATGTAGCCGATCGCGCGCGGTGCGCCCTGCTTCCGATGTCTCTTCCCTCTGCTCTCTCTCTCTCTCTCGCTCTGTCTCTCTGTCTCTCTCTCTCTCTCTCTTGCTCTCTCTCTCTCTCTCTCTCTCTCTCAGAATAATAGTATAATGCTCAGATGAATAATAATAAGAAGAAGCATAATAATACTAATAATAATAAGAAGAAGAAAATTAATAAGAAACAACATAATAATAACAATACGAATAGTAGTTATTATTAGAAGAAGAGGAGAAGCCTGGCATAGGCATAAGCTTTCGGGGCTCCGCGCGAAGCGTCGGAAGTTGACTGTCTGTGCAGCTTTTGTCCCCCTCTGCCCTGGGCGCTTCGTCCTCCCCCCTGCTCTCGGTGCTCCGCCCTCCCTCCCACGCTTGTCGACGCCGCCGCCCGCCTCCCTCCTCCCCCTCCCTCTCCCCGCCCTTCCACTCTCCTGCTCTTGCTGGCTCTTCCCGCCGTCTCGTCTTCCCCCTCGAGGGTCGAGGGCGCGCGGTCTGTCTGGGCATGTTTGGCCCTTTCCTTGGCCTCCGCGGGTTTCGGGGGGGCCTCACCCAGACATGATCCAGGGCTCCGAGTCCCCCCCCATGCTCATGGTATCGCCTCCCCGTTCCCCCCGCTGGATGTGTACGCCGTAAGCCTCGCGAAAGCCTTGCGAATGGGATCGCCCCCCCCCCCCCCCCCCCCATCCACCTCGTGGTCGTGTCCCTGTGGGCGTGGCGTGGTGGAGGGGGGTGCCAGTGCCCCCGCCCCTCCCCATGCGGGTGGGGTGTGGTGCGTCGGTGCCGTCGTCGTCTTCGTCGTCGTCGTCGTCGTCGTCGCCCCATCTGGGGGGGGGGCCTGTGGAACCTTGGGGCCCATCCCATCGGGGGGGGGGCCTGTGAACCCTCGACCTGGGATCATGCATCCACCTCCAGGAACGTCTCCCCATACTTCCGACGTCGTGCTCTTCTCGATCCAACAGTAGCACGACCTCGGACACCTGAGCCTCCTCCTTGAGCTACGGATGTTGACGTTGTTCGTCCTGTGTGGGCTCCTGGGCTGGACTCCCCTCGAGCTTTCGGCCAAAGCGCGCCCAGGGCATCTTGCCCTGGGTACGCTTCCGTACGGAAAACCGGCCAAGACAGGATGCCTGTTTCGCTTCTGGTGTAGAATAGGTTGCGTCGCTGTGGTGATTCGAATGGCATGCTCTGCCCAGCTGTTGCTCTGCGATCGCCCGCGTCCGGACGCCGTTTCCAGGCCCTGGGGCCGTCGAGGAACAACATCGGGACGACAGGCCGGCCGCTCCCCTTGGAGGGGCCGCGAGCTCGAGGGGCCAGCGGCTCGAGAGAGCAGAGTCGTCGGGCGGTCGGTCTGCGCCCTCGCGTCCCCGTCGTCGCCGTTGCCTTTGCCGTCGCCGTCTCAACTGCCGTCGGTCATCGTCGTCGTCGTCGCCGCCGCCGCCGCCGCCGTCGGAGTTGGTGAGCGATCCACCCCAGCGGCGGCTCTGGCCGCCTACGGAAGATGACGATCACCCGACAGGCACGAGGAGTATTATGCCATTGGGTCCAGGGTGCCACGTCCTGTGGGCTTACACGGCCATGGACGAGGCACGCCCAGAGCCCGCGCGCCCACTGTGGGCACGAGCGGCTCTCGGGGTGTTCCACGGAGAGAGGCACGAGCTCTTTTTGT